GTGTACCTGAGATCTATACAGTGTTGTAAAGTTACCTAAATAAAAAGAAAAAAAAAACTTTAAAGATAAAATAGACCTCCTATACTTTAAAGAATGTTCTTTGTTTCCCCCCCCCCCTTAATTGGATTACATTGGTTTACAACATTATATGATTTTGGGGAATACCTTCTTACCTCTTCAGATTTATGTTACCACAAAACACTACCAAAGCAGCCATAATCCTCCATGACATACCATTAGACCACCTCTCCCTTACCCTCACCTCCACTTACCCCCTCTATTAACTTCAATTCTAAGGTCATGTTTCTACACTTCGTTTTCATTTAGTTTTGTTAGTTCCTTCATTTTGTTTCTCTACATTTCACATTAGTGAACTCATCTAGTATTTACCTTTCTCCATCTAACTTATTTCATATAGCATAACCACCTCCATTTTTATCTTATTGTTACAAATGGCAAGCTTTCTTATCTTTTTTATAGCTGAGTAGTATTCTATTGTATACATATACCATGTCTTCCTATTCTACTCATCTGTTAGGTGGGTACTTAGGTTGTTTCCATAACTTTGCTATTGTAATTAGTGCTGCGGTAAGTACAGGAATCCATATATCTCTTTAAATTACTGTTTTTATGTTCTTTGGATAAATACCAAACAGTCAAATTTCTGGATCATGTGGTGTCTCTATTTTCAGTCTTTTGAGAAACCTCCATGCAGTTTTCCACGGGTACTAGATCAGTTTACATCCTCCAACAGTGTTATAGGACTCATTAAAAGAGTTTAGTTTTAACAAAACTGGAAGGAAACACACCAAAACATCTTTGAGTAGTGATACTATGTAATTTTCTCCCTGTCATGGTTTTTTCTAGTGATCATGTGCTCATTTTAGAATATCACAAAATGTCATTAAGCTTTGTTTATTGTAAGCATGCCTTTAAGTTTTCGAGATTTGATGTTTTTTTATTTATTTTATAAGTTTATTTTTACATCATTTTGTACTTTTTTTTTT